GCAATTTTTGAACAGGAGCACTTTTCGTGGATTTAATTTTAATATTCTCTTTGTGTATATTAGTGTTCAAATGCTGAAGCACTTGAAAGCGAGTTTCACAAGCAACTGTTTTCTCACATGCTCGGCAATGAAGAATTTCGTTATCCGTGCTTATCATCTCTCATTCGAACTCCCGCTGGTACAGCTGTAATTTAGTTTTCGGACTTACTTTCACTTTCGCCATGACTACAGAAAGCTAAACAAACTTAACTACAGACTAGTCCCCATGAATGTGAATTATCCCCAGCTTCAAATGAAGAACCGTAACGAATCTCATGGAGACGTCGGAAATAAATAAGTGAAATCCCTTATCGGTTGAACAGTATTACGTTGATAGCGGCTACATGTGAACGCTTCCGACTAATCTCTTCGCGGCCACTTTGATGGTACGCGGATGAGGCAAGTTACGAGTAGAGGTATCGGGGAAGTCCCGTCCTGGGTATTGCATCAAAAACATGAATCATGATGAAATGTTGAGTCAAATATGCAACATATTCTAATTTGGAAAAGAAAAATTGTATACACATGACCATGATTGAAAATGTGAACATAAAATTAAAAAATATATATGATAAATATTTTAAAAAGGAAATATGCAGTATAAATAGAGATCTTCGAAAATATGATGCCTATTCATAAAAGAGGCAAAATAAGCATTTATATGCACCGTCAAACCATGTCCAAAATTTAAGAAATGAAGTAATTCATACATATATCCAAACGCGCATACTTTCTGGTTGCAAGAAAGAAATATGCATTTGCATTACAATCCGGTCCCTAGTCATAGAAAACAATAAAAGAAAAAGTAAAAGCAAAGCTATTCCTGTAACAGGCCTTGAAGACCCATAGGGTTGTGAGACGTTGAGGGTCTCACATTATCTAGACAATCGGCTCCAAGATGGCGGTAAGGTTGTCAACCTTACGGGCCGGCCGCCCTTTACTCCCCAGGAAAGTTATTTAATTAGTTCCTGGTACTCATTTCTGTTAGAGGCTGAGTCGACCCCCAGGGCCATAGTGCAGCCGGAAGGATTAGATCAATTGAAGAAATCTATTGACTTCATCGGGACTTGAACCCGCGACCTTCTNCCCAGGGCCATAGTGCAGCCGGAAGGATTAGATCAATTGAAGAAATGCGACCTTCCGGCTTGTAGACTTATGACTCAACCAACTACGCTACCGCGTAGATACACAAGTATCATTGCTTATCGAAGTGAGTAAATAGCCGTTGCTAGGCAAAGCCTACAACAGTATAGGCAATGACCTCTCGTCAGAGAGGACGTCCCAAATGACGAGGACAGTAACTTTCATATAAGAAAATAGAAAAAAAATCTGGTCATAAGTCCCAGGCGGGGCTAGACACCAAGGCAGACAGACTGACGGACCGTCAGCCGCAATGTGACTTGGACTTGGATATAGAGGAGTGTGATGTGGGTGTTGGAAGCAGTAATATTGTTGGTACTATACTATTAGTCTTCAGTTCTTCAAACTCAAGTTCTTCTGTGAATATTGTGCAACTACGTGGTAGAGTCATTAAGTTCGTGGAATGTGGTTTTATCGCATAATATTACAAGGTATTCACATACACTTACGCCCTCAAAATAGTTGCCGTTGGTCGCTATATAAGTCTGCCAACATTGATTTAGCTGACGAAAACACTGCTGAACCTGCTGAAACATATTGGCAGTATATTGCCGTTCGACGCTTTGCGGCCATTCCACGAACTTATTGACTGTGGTTAGTAGTATAATAAATAGTTACAGAACAGTTGAACAAGTGGTTGTCTCTTCATATAACGATATCCCACAGAGGTATGAGTGAAGTGACAGTAGTTAAATTCCTTTCTAAAACTGGAGTAAGAGCCTCTACAATACATGAGATCAAGGTGGCTAAAGGTCACAAAAGTTTTGTGAACTCGGATTTCGGGGGACTAGATACGCTAAGGCTAGTAGTACCCTAGACCAGCGTTGGCCAACCTAATACATCTCGAGGGCCAAATTTAGTTTATAGAACACAATCAGGGGCCAGATACGGTGTTTCTTTCAGCAGAGTGGTCGGGGAGTATTGCCCCCCAAACTGAATCAGTCACAACCCGTGTAAAAACAGTGCATTTAAACCTATGTATTTAAATTTTACATTGCACCAATAATATTAAGCCGATAAGAAAAATTTCACCAATCGATTTTATTGCCTTCTATCACTTCTACCCCCAGAGCATTTTTTCTTAAAGAAACACTGGCCAGATCATGTCTTATGTTTAGTTTTATATATGCCGGGGGAAAATGCAATTATAATTTAAGAAAGAAAAATAAAATGCCTTGAAATGTGCAATTACTTACCATAAAACAGCACAAATTCCTCTTTCAGCAGGGATGAGCACAAAAGACTTTCAATCATAGTTTTTATGGTCTAATGATTATACCTAAATCCTCATATACACACTGTTTTAATGAGAGCACTGTGGTTTCATAAAACTGGAAACCAATGATATAAAATCCACTTCTAATTGTGAGGTTGCCACTCGAAGAATATGTGATAACACGACATCTGAAAGTCTGTTCCTGTTCTTAGACTTTACATGCTTCAGCGATGAAAACGCTGTCTCGCATATGTAAGTACTTGCAAAAACAGAGCAAAGTTTGAGAGCCCAATTTCGTAACAGTGGGTAACGTTCTGGTGAAAGCAGTTTCCAAAAGTCAATTCCAGTAACCTGAGATGTGTTTAAGGATGGGTCACATTGAAGTTCACAAAGCTCTAATTGCAGATGACCTGGCTGAGATTCTATATCACAATGTATAGGATTACTGAATAAAGAAATATCAGGTCGAAAGCTTTCAAAATCGTTAAATCGTCGGTCGAACTCTGAAGACAAATCTTCAATAATTTCAGTGTAGTCCCTAAACTCCAAGCCTTCTTCTTCTTCTGAGAGTTTCCGACAGCAAGGGAAATGTAGAAGGTTATTTTTGTCCAATGCAGACTTAAATAAATGTAGCTTTTTACGGAAACTGTCAACAAAGCCAACCATCTGACATATTGTCTGCTTCTTGCCTTGCAATTGCAGATTCAGGACATTCAAGTGTTGAGTGATATCAGTGAGAAAGGCCAAGTTTCTCAAGAATTCGACGTCTTCGAGATCATTCTGCAGTTCAGCAGAATTCGTAACCTCTTCTCTTAGGAATGTTGCTATTTCATGACGGAGTTCAAAGAACCGTACCAGACATTTCCCACGGCTTAACCATCTTACTTCAGTGTGCAGAAGCAGGTCCCCGTAAGCAGAATCCATTTCTTCCAAGAGGGTCAGAAATTTTCTGTGAGTGAGTGATCGATTTCCTCCTCTGATCAAATTAGTAATTTTTGTGACAGTAGCCATGGTGGTAGACAGTTTAATTGATTTGGCACATAGAGCCTCCTGATGTATAATACAATGCAAGGTAGGTACAGTAATTTGATTCTGTCTTAAAAATCCAACAAAACCGCTTATTGTCCCTGTCATTGATTTAGCGCCATCTGTTACTATGGAGGACAATTTTTCAAAACCACCGAATTCCTCCACTGCACTCTTAACAGCGTTAAAAATATCGACACCTCTAGTTGTGCTGTGTAAAGAGCACACTTTTAACAACTCTTCGAAAATTGTAAAATCTTCCTTAATTGCACGAACAAATATCAGCAACTGATTAGTATCCGAAACATCTGTGCTTTCGTCGAGAGCAATTGAGAAATAGGAACAATTAGCGATAATGTCTTTCACATTATTAGATATCTGGTTGCTAATATCTTCCAGCCTCCTAGTAACAGTCTGTTTTGAAAGGGGCACTGTTTGAAATTTGTTTCCTACCTTATTTTCATTGAAAGCTTCTGCCATCTTTATCGCACAGTTCTTAATTAATTCACCATCACTTAACGCTTTTTTAGCTTTCATTAATTCATATGTCACGAAATAAGAAGCCAGCAAAGCTTCTTCTTGTTGTTTTGTTTCATTGGTAAAAAGAGATTTCTGCTGGAAAAGTTTTTTCTTTAACTGATCGCAGACTACTTTCCTTGATTCACAAGAGTGTTTTCCGAACTTCTGTTTATGATTTGTCATGTAATGCCTCTTTAGGTTGTACTCCTTTAAAACTGCTAGCACTTGAAAACATACTAAACACTGTGGCTTGTGGTCTTTATTTAATATAAAAAAATAGTCATGTTCCCACTCAGATTTGAACGCCCTATTTTCGCTATCAACTTTTCTCAATTTACTATTTGACATGCTGTATCACTCACAATAACTTCAAACACAATTTTAATTTAAAAACAGTTCTACACTCACACTCCGTAATCACACTTCACTTTCTAAAATCGCACTAACTGGGAGACATTTCTGCTAAAACTGGCACTTAACAAAGGCCAGGATGCCGAGAGAAACGGTAAACATCCCATCGCCGCGAGCAAGCTGGGAATGGTTATTATTTTGAAGGTGTCATAAATCCTTCACCACTACGGTCTTCCCTTCAGTGTCATCTCCCTACAGAAGTAGGGTTGGGGAACTTTGAATTTCCATGACATGAACACAGTTATTAGAAAACCGTTTGAACTGTCCAACTCAGTAAGAACGTATACAGTCAATTGCAAAATGCTGTAAGCTAATGAAACGTCCTATTAAAAACTGAATTCTATGCCAATACAGCTGTGAAGTTAAGATTTTTGAAAATAAACCTGAGACTTGGCAGGGGGCCGGAGTAAATCAAGTCGCGGGCCGGATACGGCCCGCGGGCCGCCAGTTGGACATCGCTGCCCTAGACGTTGGCGGAATGACGGCTGTTACGATAGCAGTTAACCTTCTTACCGACTGAGCTCTCGGTTGTGGCTGCTGAACAGGGAAATTAGATGGTAGCATACGAACTTGTGACTTTACGGCAGCTACGTAGACGTTGAGATACACGTCTGTGCGGTGTTATTCTGTGAAGTTCAGTATGATGAAAGAGCCGAAAGAGGTAGTTGATGTAAATTGGTTGGTACTATCCGTTATTATCGTATTCAGTCATAGAAATTACTGTAAATCAACAAGTGCGTATGAATAAAAGGTATTTGTAGGATTCTAAACATGTTTATGACCTTTTTTTGTGGTTAATTACATGCTTTCTGTGTTTAGGAATGTATAATGCTCTCGCAAATTAATAACATGAATCGAATAAATGGAATTTTGCAGATATAGTGACGTTGCACAAAATTTTGCTTAAAGGATGTAACGGGCCTGCGTTTTATTAGGAGTATTTAACTTGCATATTTTAATGCCAGTTTTACGTATGATTTAATTATCTTAGGTAGTGCTGAAAGCGAAAGTATTTTTAAATTACGAAAGGGGTTATACGAATAATCTTTGGCGTTCGAAGACCCGTTATGCAGGCAACATTATCAGGAAGTAGATAAACTTTCAGTATTTGTATTTATTGTTAAGTTCAAGAGATCCAAAGATGGATATAAAACATGTCATAAAATAATATAGAGCATAGAATACGACCATAAATATTACATAACTAGACAGTACAATGAATACAACAATAATACAGATTATCTATTTAGATAATTCATCCACAGTATGAAACGTATGAGTATTAAGAAAATACCTTAATACAACCTTAAACTTTTTAAAATTATTAGATGTGTTCTTGATCTCTTTGGGCAATTTATTGAATATTTTTATACCCGTATAATAAACTCCTTTTTGATAAATAGTTAGATTAGCTTGAGATAGATACAAATCTTGCCCTTGTCTAGTATCAGTAGTATGAGAATCAATGTTTGATGGAAAAAGAACTTTGTTTATATTTCCAGTCATTTGTGTGTATGAAATGGAACTGCTGTGACACTTAAAATTAAATATAAAGTTGTTGGAACACAATAGTGGAATTATGGCAATTCATGCCAAAATGTGTGTATGAAATGGAACTGATGTGACACTTAAAATTAAATATAAAGACGTTGGAACACACCAGTGGAATTATATTGGCAATTCATGCCAAATTGGAACGTTCATGGTCAGTTCTGTATGATGAGTGTAGTAATTAGATTATTTAATAAATTGCCAACTCAAACTGGGAAAGTGGTAAAAATTCAGCAATTTAAAAAGTAGCATAGATGCTTCATATTGTATTTTACTCTGTATATGAATATGTGCTATATTAACATTATGATTAATTAAGTAAGTTGGGTCTGTGAATTGCAATGATGTTGTAAGTTTATAAATCATATTTGTAGTATGTTATAAGAAGATGATATTAAGTAAGTGGGGTTATTGAAATGCATTTGTATCATTTTGCAGTATTATGTGTGATTGAAACTTACTTGAATTCTTCAGTTTCTGTAATTTTTGGGTCATGTAGCATAATGACATGTCCTGTGTCAAAAGTCTGATGAAAGTGTTATTTTTGTTACTTCACGTGGATCGAATGATAAGAGAGAATCAGTGTTCACTCTACTCCTGCTTTATTAAGACTGAGCTATTTGATACAGAAGTACGCCTTACATATACATACAGGCTTATAACCATAGTAACACTTAACAATATAAAGATACTGTTGTTACACACATAACTGTAGTTACACATAACAGTAAACATCACTTAGGTAACAAGACATAACCTAGTTCTTAAATTGTTTACTATGATGTTGCCAACTCTAACATTATATTTCAGTATCTGAGAGTTGCCAACATAACACTCCCCCATAAACAATTTGGGAGTTTTGTATTTTAAATACTTATTCATTGATCTGAGAATTCCTGTGTACAATACCTACATCCTTTGTAGTGTCTAGGCATTCTAGAAGTCTCTTTAACAACTCAACTTCAATATTGTCGTTGTGAAATATGAAGAAGTCTTCAACATACAATTCTATATATTAATTATAGATTTACTGGCTTATTTGACGGTCTGTCCACTATTGTCCATGCTTCATTTGTTTGGAAAGCTTCTAGCTCCTTTTTAATAGCTTCTTGAAACAAAAAGGTGACACATATGAAGCCTTTAAAGAATTTATAAAAATGACTGAGACAGAAACTGGATTGACAATAAAAACTGTTCGTTCCGATAATGGTGGTGAATTTTGTGGCAAATTATTCAATGAAATGTTAAAACAAAAGGGAATATAATGTTAGAGTTGGCAACATCATAGTAAACAATTTAAGAACTAGGTTATGTCTTGTTACCTAAGTGATGTTTACTGTTATGTGTAACAACAGTATATTTATATTGTTAAGTGTTACTATGGTTATAAGCCTGTATGTATATATAAGGCGTACTTCTGTATCAAATAGCTCAGTCTTAATAAAGCAGGAGTAGAGTGAACACTGATTCTCACTTATCATTCGATCCACGTAAAGTAACAAAAATAACAGAAAGATGAATAAAATCAAAACTATATGAAACTGTTACAGTTGTAAGATGCCTCTTTTCACATTTTTTGACAGGATATAATGGAAAGCTGAAATGCAAAGTAAGATGGCAAGTAGGGAAGGTTCTTACTTTGGAGGTGAAAAACAAAAATATAATTATCTTCCATATGGATATGGAGGAAGTAATGTGCAGCCTTTCTCTGGAGCATCTGTTGGCTGGTCAAGCTACCCTATTTCTGTACCAGGTCCACAAACGCCCGTAGATGGGCTCCAGCAATTAAGTACATCATCTTTCACATATCAGCCCTTGCAGCCAGTCTCATCAAACTTTGTAAATCAAACCATGCATGGTACAAATACAAATGGAAGGTATTTTTTTGAAGAATTTAAAACTAACTTGAATCCAAATGACGTACGTTTGGAAGTGGCAGCATCATCATCTCTGACACCTACTGCAGGGGAATTTATTCCAAGACCAATATCATTGCAGTTGGATTCCAAATTAGGAGGGGGTGCTGAAGAGGTAGATACAAATTGTGGGAAAGTGTCAGAAGAATGTAGACCATTGACGTCAAATTCTTACAACAACTGTGATCGAGGAAGCCACGTGTTTAGAAGACATGGTGGCAGTGATTCAAAATATTTTCATTCCACCCGAAACCCACCCTGTGGACCTGTTCACAATGATGTTTATGTTAATCGGAGAGGAAATGCCCGTGCAGTGTTACAGAATACTGCCACAAATTCTAAGTCATATAATATGGAGAAAGCAAAGAATCAAGATCGACAGAGGTTGCTGGCTGAAGCAGCAGCGTTTTTAACGTCATCAGGTAGTTCCAGTGTGGTACCTGTCTCAGATGTCAACAGTAATTCAAGTACAGAAATGAAACAACAGAATATGAATGTTACTTCTCAGTGTCGACATAAATATAAAGGAGAATTTAACAGGTCATTCATGCCCCCAAACAAACATAATGGTGATGCATCAGGTGTGAATTTTAAGAATTATATTCAGCAGCAGCAGCAAGAAAACTTGGGCCAATCAAAGAGGAGAAATGATGGCTCTTGCAATCAGTATAACCAAGGTGGCTCTCGTAATGAACGAAATGTGACATTATCCAAAACCAGCAACGGAAACAAACTGAACCACCAGTATCGACTTGCTAGTTATAATAGTGGATATAGTTTTCGTGGAGCAGGAACTTTAGAGTGTGCATCCCCCAGGAAGGAGGCAGATCACAGTGGAGACCACAGTGTTAATACAACAGGTAATTACTAACTCCATGTAAAAAGAATCCATAGCAGAAGCAAATCTGTTTGACCTTAGTTCTTACATTAAAAAATGATAGCTCATGTGAAAGCATTTAATATTGAAGAATGGCATCTTCTGGGATGGACATCATGTAGTCTGGTAGGTTACCCAAGTGTGAGGGAACATATGGACTCCACTTTCAGGATCAGAGATTAAGCAAAAGAAGCAAGCAGAATAACTCTTGCCACTTGCTTGTCTTACTCTTTAACCCTGAAGATGGAGGCAGTATATTCCTCCAGACAGTCAGTGAACTTCTACCAGACATAAAACCCCAACTTTAAATGATGCACTGGTGCTTCATGAATAGCACCAAGAATTCTTGTGCCCCAAAATGTTATTTTGGCTGTTTATGTAACCACTCAGCATGAACCAGGCCTTTTCAAAATAAGGTTTGAGTTATGTTTCAAGAAGTACATTGAATACTAGTTCCTTAAACCACTTTTTTTTATTGCTATTGGGGTGGGACAAAGTCCTTGTACTGCAGCCACTTCTGGCCTATTGTACAAGCCCCAGATATAGGTGAGGGTGATTGTGGAGCAATTGGTGGAATGAAGATTGGCAGGGAAAACCGAAGTACTCTGAGAAAACCTGCCCCAGTGCCACTTTGTCCACCCGGGCCACTGTGGCGAGAAAGCCAGCGACTAACCGCTTGAGCTATGGCGCGGCCTTCCTTAAACCACTCACCATATCATATATTTGCTTAGTAATACATAGAAAAAGGCTATGTACTACTGTAGTTTTGTAGGGCCGTAACTTTAGCATCTTCATACCAGCATGATCTGTAATTTTTGGCTGCTCACACATCAGAAACTGAAATGATTTCTTTGGGATTTCTTCTGATTTTGTGCCAATGTCATCAAGTTTTTCTTCAGTCAGTATGTCTTGTTCAAGGCTACTTTTTTTCTAGCACTGATCCTGTAGAACATAATTTTGTTATAATACTGTAAATCATTGATTTACACAGCAGTGCACTCTGAGGATATTTCCTACAAAACTTTCTATGACATTTGCTCCGTGAAGAATACTGTACAGTTATCTTATATGAATTACTCTCTTTAGCACTAAATTTCATCTTTGAATGCAGTGGAATTAAGTGTCAGGTAACGAAGTGACAGTTCCATGGCCAGTTGTGGGCAGGCATTTTTCTAGCCTTCCAGTCTAAGGACAAATTGGATTCTGTGTAAATTTCATGTACTGACGTTGATTTTGAATAAATAATTGCCTGACCCGCACTCTCAGCAGTGTCAGTTTGCTTTATCCCTTGACTTCGCATTTTCTACTTGTAATCCATCCCTCCCCACTCTGCCGGCCTCTAGAATGTGTATTGCTAGTAATGGGTGACACAAGATGTAGTCTTCATATTGAAATCAGTGGCAGTTTCTTCACATTGAATTTCTGAGATGAATTCAAATGTCTTAAAGTATTGTTACTGAATATTTGTAAATATTTCATATTAAAATGCTGTTATCAGTCTTGTTTATATATTTGATTGGTAGTGTAATAAAATGAAATTGTTATACTTAGGGAAGTTTGAACACTTTCATTAGGGACCGATAAATTCTGAAACCATTGTTCTTATGCCATTTTAAATATTACATTGTTTTACGAGAAACCAGAACCCTATAGTATCTACCAGAAGAAAATTGCTAAATTTCACTGAAAACTAGCTTCACTTGAAAATGAATGGGAAAAATTGGATTCTCAAATTTCTTATAATTTTCATAAATGCAAGAAAATCTTTAATGAAGCATAACCTAGTCTCCTGTCCAGTAGATACATTTGGCTCTTTGTTTGGAGATATACAGCTGGAGCATGAAGCCAGACACTACTGCTAAGGTCTAGAAAATGGAGTTGTAATACTACTACACTTACACATTTTCATGGCATGGCGCTTATGCACAAAGAGAACTTTGTATATTTTAATAATGTATCCACGGTAATATAAATGTTTTGGCTTGCAAATTAAGGCAGAATAATCTATAATTTGATCTTTTTCAGAGTGATTAGGAAATGGGCGCAAATACAATGGAGGTATGAACCTGATAAAATAAATGGAATTAAATGTAATTTGCCTGTGTAAGATGTGAAATTAGTCTCACATTAAAAAAAAAGGGGCACATTTGAAATTTGTAAATAGGAAATGGTATGAGAAAAAAATGTGTGTAGAAGGAAAATTACATTTTATCTACACTTAGTTGATCTTAGTGTATTTTCTATTAAATAGATTTGTTTTAGTATGTTATATAGTTTTAAATTCTTTATTGAATCCTTTAGATATTGGTATGCAAAGGAGAGTCATTCATGAGTATTTATTGCTGTTCCCCCCCCCATACTGTTTGGCTTCTGTCAGATGATGGTGCCAGCCAGAGAGAGCGTCTTACTGAACAACTGACACGTGGGATGCTTGAATGTCTGGTATGCTGTGACAGAGTCCGGCAACACGATGCTGTATGGAGTTGTACCAACTGCTACCATGTGTTGCATTTGAAATGTATTAAGAAGTGGGCTAAGTCTTCAAAGGCAGGTAGGCATCCTGTACATAAAAGAAAAGCAGTTGTTTGTGATCATGATGTGTGTGGTATTCCCAGCAGCTGAGGAGGCAGTACTCTTCAATGTTAGACGCCAGTGATGTAGTAGATTTTTGTTCAATAATGGCATATTAGATGAAATATGTTTTTAACTTCATTCTTACAGTATTTGTTTAAAATACATTTTTGCTACATCTTTAAAGAAGAGTTCCATTTGTAATTGGGAAGTTTGGTTAAGATGTTTCTTTGTGTTAAAATGGAAACAGTCTCATTTGTGAAGGTTGTTGGTGATGGGAGCTGTCTGTTCTAGAGCCTGGTCATTTTACTGAAAAATAATGAAAGATTGCTCTTACTATTGCATGAGTGCTAACAGCTTACCACCACCCTATGTCAGCATCTGTTATTGCAGTCTTACCTTTTTGTTAGCTTTTAGAACCTAATGTTATCTTTTAAACGGTGCTCAGGCTGTGAACAATAACAGTACAGTTTATGTTTTAAGTAAATCTTCCATTGAATTTTTTATGGGCCTTATAATATTGTAATTACTCATACATTTGTCATCACCACTTCCATCTCACATTTTAGACTGATAGTTATGTTCCAACTTTGAGGTAAGTTATGTACACGCTAAATCATGCAGAAGTGCTTGGAACATATGACAGATGTTTGGATGTCGTGGTGTAGTTTGATGTCTGAGACAGGTTTCCTTAGTTACTTTAATAGTGTCTTGGGTGTCATTTCAGTGACTGATAGGACTATATCAGGGACAAGATTTTGTTGCCACATACAGGGTATTTCACAACTTTAGGTCATAACTGCAGGAGGTGATTTCCTAGGTCTTTGTGATCAAAAAAGTTCATATAAACACGTGTCCAATTTTGGATGGCTACGGAGTTATGACTGTTTTAAACTCAGAATAGTAGGTAACGATTACTGACAATAAACGGAACAAAATAATAAACCAGCATAATACATGATACATTTAAAATATGAATGTAAAGTTAACTTCGTGAAATTAGCTTTAATTTGAATTGATTGGTGCTTAAAGCTGATTTTTGAAAATGCCACCACCGGCCGCAACGCAGGCTGCCGCTCAGTTGTGAACCGTGCAGGTAGCACGTAACAGCTTCAGCTGGCTGTTTCTTATGTGGTCAGTGACATCCATAATGCTACTGAGCAAAGCATCTCGCGTTGCCACCTTCACATTCTAAACCAGTTCTTTCTTCCATCCCCACACACAATAATCCAGTGGGCTTAAGTCTGGAGACCTGGCTGGCAATTCTTCGCGTACTCGTACGTGGACTGCGGTGTACCATACGAACAATGCCTTCTTCATTGACGCCTTCATTAACACCATGCTCAGCTGCAATACGAACGCCGGGAAGTCTACCGGTATCTCACAATGCTTGGTAAACTCCAGTAAACACTCTCCGGTTCAGTATTCTATGATTCGGAAACCTTTACTGATATTCAGCTATGGCAAGAACTGAGTTACCGTCACAAAACCCGAACACATAAATCATATCTGCATACTCCTCAAATGAAAATGTAAATGGCATCGTGAACATAACAGACGCGCTGAGATGAGAACTGTTCTGAACACCAGTAGGCGCCACGCTAGCTGTGGTCTGTCAAGTGGTATGTGACACCATGTAGTCTGGTAGAAGTGTACTGATGTTTTAGAAGGATGTCATTAAGCTTGCACTAATTTCCATAGCGTTATGTCCTAGAAGATTGTCATCACTTTGAGAATCTGAAATCTCGTGAACACTTTTAATGTGGGGTTTGATGTTCTCACATTGAGTTCTGTCTTCTGAGCTATAACTCTGAGTAATCTGTTGAAAGTCACCTGACGTTTCAGAGGGAATTGTCGCCTCCATCTTCAATGTTGAACAATATATATGTAGTGTATACTGCTTCTGTAACCGACCAGTCATTGTACTAATCAGTGCACTAGTTTTAACGGAACCATTTTTATGATGCTATTGAAAAATGTTTTCTTGTCTGGAATCTTACTAGCATGATTTTCCTTCCATTTACTCCTTGTTTTATCTATAGTGTTACAGACACTGTTTGGCTGATATTGCAGGTATTGGAGACCGCCCCATCAAGCATGATGGTGGAGTGAACTGTTTAGTTGGGGACAACATTAATGCTATTCAGACAAAGATCTTGATACTATACAATATGGTAATCAGTCTTTGAGAAGTATGCAGTGTATAAACATTTAGATATATTTAGCAAAATGGAAAAAGCCATTATCCAGTAAATGTATATTTTAGTTATGATGGCTTGACGTTTTTTTAGCAACAATATATAAATATTTGTATACAGTATTAAAGTGTACAGGATCTGATTTTTTGAAAGCCTAAATTTTATCGCATCAAGAGTGAGTGGTTCAAGCTGGTGTATTAATTTAATTATTAATATAAGAGCTTCAGGTGTGTTTACACTTAACCTAATTTCTTTGAATTTATGTTTACTTTTCGACTTTCGACCCTAGAATCAGGTTGGCGATGTCCTGCTTGTCAAAATGTGACATCCAAGATCCCACATGAATACCATTGCTTCTGTGGGAAAATGCGTGATCCAGAATGGAATCGAATGGATGCAGCACACACATGTGGACAGGTGTGCGGGCGTTCTCAGAATGCACGACATCCAGACTGCACTCATAGATGCACTTTGCTCTGTCATCCTGGTCCCTGCCCAGACTGTACAGTCCAGGTCAACAGGTATGGTGTCACTTTAAAGAAATGTAATTTAATGAGATGATGAAAAATAATAGCCCCCATAAGAAAATATGACGCAGTTTTAACACTGTTGTGCTTGTGCGAACTCGTGTTAAAGATAGACAGTTTTAGCTCTATGTTTGCTTCATGCTGCCTGTGTAAAAGATAATCTGCGAGATCCCTTCATACAGCATAAATAATTTATGAATGCACAATGCAAGTTCACATATTTGAAATAGAGTTAATTACATTTAAAGGGCAGGAGTGTGTTGGGTACAGATATTCATCATTCATCTCTAATCTGTCAAGACGACAGGTCCACAGTCTCTTCCAAAACAATTCCTCCACTTAGTGCGATCTAGAGCTTTCTCCTTCAAATGACAGTATCCTCTTCTGTCCCCAAGGTCATCCAGCATCTTCTTACGTCTTCNTGTCACTTCTATCCGCCCATCTATCTTTCCTTCGATAGCTTCTTTTAGAAGGCAGTTTCTGCGTAAAACATGACCAATCCAATTAGCCTTCCGTTTTCTTATTTCATGTAGGATATTCCTCTGCTCACCGACTCTAAATAACACTTCTTCATTTCTCACATAACAGTTCCAACTGATCTTCTCCATTCTTCTCCAACACCACATTTCGAAACTTTCCAGATGTTTCTGATCTACTGCCCTAAGTGTCCATGTTTCAGCCCCATACAGAGCTATGCTCCAAATGTAGCATTTCACTAGTTTCTTCCTCAAATTTAAGTCCAATTTGCTGGTAAAAAGATTCTTCTTCTTGCTAAATGCAGCTTTTGCCATGGCAATCCTGGATTTAATTTCACAAGTACACCTTCCATCATCTGTTAACAAGCTACCCAAATATTTAAAACATTTCACATTCTCCACTTGTTTTTGGTCTATCTTTATTGTGACTGGGGTTGGTTGTCTCGAAATTTTCATTACTTTTGTTTTCTCCACATTCATTTCCATGCCATAGCACCTTCCAATTTCAATTAGTCTATCAATCATGCCCTGTAGCACAGTTTCTTCCTTAGCCATTAACACAAGGTCATCTCCATATTTCACAGTTTGAATAATTTGAAGCCTCCAAACCCGTCCATAGCTTCTTTGGTAAGGCATTCGCTGTACAAGTTGAATAAAATTGGTGATAAACAACATCCTTGTCAAACTCCTCTTCCAATCTTCACACTTCTTGTCTCCCCCTCTGTTCAGTCGCACTCTAACTCTTTGATCCATGTACAATTTACTAATCAATTTTCTTTCACGCCAATCGATACCTGTTTCCTTTAGGATCTGCATTAATTTGGTCCAATTTACATGGTCAGATGCCTTCTGCCAGTCTATAAAGCAAGCACACAGTTCTTCATCTATCTCCAAAGTTCATTCTGCTATAATTCTCAACATCCCAATTGCATCCCTGGTTCCTTTTCTACTTCTAAATCCAAACTCATCCTCTCCAAGTATATCCTCTAATTTCCTTTCGATTCTTCTTTTAAGTATCTTTGCTATTATCTTTGCTGTATGTGCAATAAGACTTATTGTGCGATGGTCGCTGCATTTTGTAGCTTTTGTCTTTTTCTTTAAGGCAATCATTGTAACTTCTGTAAAGTCCTTGGGCCACTCTCCACTTTCATATATGGTGTTCATTAGTTTTGTCAGTGTTTTCAAACCACCTTCTCCCAGTAACTTAAGCACATATCCAGGTACATCATCATCTCCTGTAGCCTTTCCATTCCACATTTCCTTGATAGCTTTTTCCACCTCACTTTGTAAAATATATGGTCCTTTCTCGTCTGTATCTACTTCTTCTTCCGGTTCAACTTCTAAGGTTTCTGGCCGATTAGGTCGATCATATAGTTCTGAAATATAATTTTCCCAAATTTTCAGCACTTGCCTCTGATCTACTATTCTATTCCCCTGGGAGTCTTCGATGCCAACATTTTGAATCCCATGATTCTCTTTCCATCCTAGTTCTTTTGTCTTCATGTACATCAAATCATAACGTCCTGTCCTTTGAAATTCTATAATCTCATTACATATCTTCTCAAGATATTCCTTTTTGGCCCTGTCCGTGGCTCTTTTCAATTCATTCCCCAGTCTCCTGTATTTCCTCCTGCCTTCTTCATTGTTTACGTTCTTCCATTTCCTTCGCTCCTCCATTTTACTCATCATCTCCTGTGTAACCCATGGTTTTCTTGCTATCTTCTCAACTTTACCAACCAGTTCGCTAATAATATCTAACATGCATTCTTTTATGTTGTTCCACTGCACTTCAACATTTCCGCTTTCACTCTCAGTTGCACTGAGTTTCTCTTCTAGGGTCTCCTGCATGCTTTGTCTTTGAGCATATAACTTCTCCAAATCCCATCTAGGTCTGCGCTTTTGGACTCTTATAATTTTCTTCAACCTGGTCAGAGTCACTATCTGCCCCAGGCAGCGTCTTCACATCCTTCACACTGTTTCTGAATCGATGTTTCACAAGGATGTAGTACAACTGATGCCGCCTCCAGTCCCCAGGTGCCTTCCATGTGTAAATTCTTCTCTTTGGCTTCTTGAACCAAGTGTTGGTAACAGTCAGTCCATTTCTTTCACAAAAGTCAATAAGCATTTGACCCCTGTGATTCCGTCTTCCTAGTCCATGTGATCCAACAATATTCTGATGTGGTTCATCTCCAACAGTGCTATTCCAGTCTCTAATATGATGCTGTTTGTGTCACCTCTTCCATCTTCAAGAATTTCTTCAATTGTGTCATACACTTTTTCCACTTCATCTTCATACTCTGATGTTGGCATGTACACTTGCATAATCAGTATATCTACTGGTTCCGCCTTTAACTTCAGAGCAATAATTCTGTCATTACAATCTGTAAAGGTGCAGCCACCAACAAGGGGGTTAAAATTATATTAGATAATAAAATATATGGAGAAGTGAGTTATTTCATTTACTTGATCATAAGTTTGTAGAGCTTTAAAAACCACGTTACTCTCAAAATACCAGAAGTAGGCTTTCATAAAATTCTGTGAATTAATAAGGATGCATTTGTATGGATCAGATGTTAATGAAACAAGAAATTAGTAGGGTGGAGGTCAAGAAATGTGTTTCCTTAGAGTAGTGACAGGATACAGGATCACAAATTGTAAATGAATGATATTTGTTAGTGAAGGATTGGAACTGATGGATATCATGAAGAACTGGAGAAGAAACTGGAAAGTTGGAGCATTTGAAAGGAATTCCTTAAATTAAACACCAGAGCTCCTCCTGCTAATCAGTCAGATATGGTGAACACTACCAAAAAGAATAGTGTCAGGCAATTTGACAGCATTGTTCATAATAAGAATAGTCACCCCTCCAATAAAATAGTGCATGATCGTAAAAAAGCCCAAATTAACAATTCTCCATCAAAATATATGAGGAATCATTAACAAAGTTTATGAATTTTTAATTTCTTTATCTGCTAATGCACCACAAATCATCTGCTTATCTGAACATCACCTGAGAATTAATGAAATAGGTAAATTAAACTTCAGTCAGTATGTTGTAGGTACTTCCTTTTGCAGACAAACATATAGCCATGGAGGAGTGTGTGTTATGGTTCATAAGAATAATCAGGTTTCTACTATTAGTCTTGATCAATTTAATAAAGAGAAGGACCTTGAAATTTTTTCTTATGTCAAACCACTTTATTATCATCTGTATGTATAGATCCCCTACTGGCAACTTTTCTTACTTCTTAAACCAACTGGAATTAATTCTTAACAAAGTGCATAAAATATCAAATGAATTAATTTTATTTGGTGATTTTAACATAAACTGTTTTAACAATAATAATAGGAAAGATCTTTTAGACTCTCTCTTAGCTTCTTTTAATCTTTTTAGTACAATTAATTTTCCTATGAGAATTTTTAATAATTCGTGCACCGTAATTGATAATATTTATATTAATACCAATTTGCGCGAATTTTCTGTACATCCTCTTATTAATGGTCTGTCTGACCATGATGCTCAGGTCATCACCTTAAATAATATTACTATGCCTATCCCTAAACAGATATATTGCTTTAGGAGAGATATCAGTAACTACTCAATAGGTCAATTTACATTTTTGTTAAGCTATGAAAATTGGGAAGATGTTTTTTCTGAAACTACTGTGAATAATAATTAATTTAATAATTTAATTAATAATAATTTTTTGAACACATTTCTTAGAATCTTCTATGCATGCTTTCCTGTGGTAAAATCCCTATATTCATATAAACTAAAACCATGGCTAACTTACGGTATTAGAACATCATGCGCTAATAAAAGGAAACTTTATCTAGTTTATAATGGGTGTTTCACTCGGGGCGGAACCCAGCATTTTGTTAATAACTCAGATAGTAATAAAGATATTGCAACGAAATTTGGAGTGGACTTATCTCAGTTCATGTGAAGTCTGGTGACATCATAACAAGTGCTGGAAATGGCCACCATTTGCGTCCAGACAGCATTGGACTCGGCGTGCCATGTTTTGGAAAGTCCTTGCCCGTACGTCAGGTGTCACTTCTTGGATGGCCTCACTTATGTTTGCTTTTAAAGCCTCTATGGTTCACGGTTTGTTGGCGTAAACTTACGCTTTCAAATGTCCCCACAAATAATAATCAGGCGGCGTTAGATCAGGCGAGTGAAGTGGCCAAAGTCCCCTGGAAATGACGCAGTCGCCGAAAAAAAGACTGGGTTTCGGCCATGCTTGCGCACGAGGTGTGTGCTGTTGCTCCATCCTGCTGGAAATAACCGATGGATAATTCCTCATCCTCATATTTCTTGTTTCTTTTTATCTGTTGGCAGTTTTACTTGATCTTTTTGGATGGAGAATTCTCAGCATATTGTTAATTCCGTAGATAATTTGGAAACTTTGTTGGATTCAAACATAAAAAATGTGATGTTTTAAAAATGCTTCATTATCTCAGTTCTTTTTTTGGAATGTGAACTGTTGAGTCATTCCTGAAACACAGATGTTGTGTCACGTATGTTGGAAGGATTATGACATATTGTTTGTGATGACAAGAGACCTGCAGTGTTTTGTTGATTACAGTATGAAGAGTGGATGTTACTACCTTCTTTTATGATTTTTGGCACAGTTGACTAAGCATGCCACACCAATGTGGAAACAAGAGTTATATTTCTGCAAATAGGAACAACTGCATCTGCAAATGGTTAGGCCATGTAAAAAGAATGGGTATACTGAGAATGGCAGTAGAATTAAAATGTGAAGTGAAGAGACCTATGGGAGAGTCCAGAAGAATATTGTTCACCCAGGTGTTGGAGGACATCAGGAAGAAGGAATCTGAGCAGGAGGGGGGGGGGAAGAGTAGTTGTTACCCATGAAAACCTGAACATAGATGAGAGGATAATATTGAAATGTATCTTAAATGTGTTGTGAGCCTGTAGACTGGATTCATGAAGGCTTAAAATGAGAACCAGTGGCAGTGTAAGGACTCTTGTGGCCAGCTATTTGCTCTATCAGCTGTAGAGGGATGCTGCTCCATAGAGGTGGATGGTTCATTAGCTAGTTACATGTTCCTCCACAGTCACCATCTCCTAGTTTAAAATTTGTATAATCCAAAACTGCATTCAATTGCTTTTCCCTGATTACAAATTCTGAACAGGCCACAGATGGGCCATTCTGGTGTGAACACATTAATATGGCACATATATTTTATGTATATTACTGTACTTACTTTACATATGTTATTGTAGTGGATATTTATTTCCCATTTCTTCTTACAAAATTACAGGAAGTGTGGTTGTGGGAAGAAGTTACATCTTGTCAAGTGTGGATCAGATCAGCCCCTGCTCTGTGGTGGAGTGTGTGCGAAAGACCTCAACTGTGGTGTCCATTACTGTCCCAATAATTGTCACACTGGTAATTGTTCTGAATGTCAGGAGAAGGTAACACAAGGTAAGCAGCAATGTGGAAAACATTGTTACAAAGGGATATCAAAAATAAATTTGGTAAATAACCAAGAGAATTTAAGGTGTGAGCATTTTCATGACTTTTCTTCAGGAAGGAAATTTAAGTCTTTATTGTCTGTGCATTACTGCTACAACCTGTGCTTTAAGTCTGCCAGGCCTAGTATCACATTGTTTTCAATATAAGTACTGTTTTTTTTTTTCTTTCTTTGGCGCTACAGCCCCAATTTTGGCCTCGGCCTACCTCCATGAAATTCTCTATTTCACTTTTGTTTATTAGATCTTACACATTTGGTAGAACTCCTTGGGCAGTTGATCAGCTCATCACAAGGCCTCTACCTGTACACAAACACAGAAAAACGCCCATACACACACAAACACCAAACATTCATGCCTAGAGTGGGATTTGAACCCACATTCCTGCCTTCTGTGTGAGTGAAGTCAGTGCATGACTTACTGCTAGGCCACCATGACCGGTGTAAGTACCATTATCCCAAATTAAAATCCACCCACCAGCATTGTAGTAGCAGGAGATTTAAATGTTCTGTTTCTGGATGATAAAGTTTAAGAAAGTTGGTGGAAGAACCAAAGAAGCTTCCAATTAATGACCATTGACAGAAAGCTGTGAAGCACTTAGGGAAGTTGTTGGCATATGTAATATGGGGTTCACTGATCTCTGTGAACAGGTAAGGAAGTGAGCAGTTAGTGTAAGGCAACTTTGTTATGTTCAGCATTGACTTGCTGAAATTAATTTGTTCAAAAAGAAGACCAACAAAAAATCAAACTTGGTACAAAAGCAAAGACAGGACCCAGTAAATAATCCTACTATGTAGCTCATAACGCAGTATGAAAAGTACGTAAAATTAACCGCAGACAAACGTGCTTTTAAAATATACTGTTAATATCATGATTTGTTTAATCCGTCTTGCAGTGCGTACACTTATCTATCTTCTTCTCTCACTCTCACTACATGTTTCGGCATAAAAATGCCATCTTCAGGTGCTACTCAATTCACGTCAAACTAGTACATTGTATGCCTTGTCTTCACTTTAAAATAACTAAAATATACAAATGTCAATCGTAAAAATATTAAAACTGTTCAGGGTTCCCGATCGCTACGTCGTATCTTATTACGCCAGTCCTGTTCATCCTACTCTGTTGGAGCTCTTCTTCCCT